AGCGACTCATTGCCCAGCCCTAGTTTCCCATGCCCAGTGTCTCGTTTCTCGACTTCCAGACTCACTCTCTTCCTGTATCATTTTTTCCTCTCATAGTAGAGTAGGGTTGTCAGGACACGTCATGGAACACTCACCACTATCATCCTTTCCCTGAAGTCTATTGGAAATCTGATTCTATCTCTAACTAGACCGTGAGCACAGCCGTCTCTCACAATTATGACCCCTAGGCGCTCATAATATGACCTTTTGTAGTTGCCAGCGCCGTAAAACCTTACTAAAACTAACTATCGTAATAATGGTAAAACACTCGGACAATTGATCAATTGATCAAACAGACAAAGGCAGAATTATTTTTTTTAATGCTTAGAGGCGTAGTGGAATCAGGACCCAACCAATTTTTAGACATGTAGAGTTATTTATATCGTCTTGAAGCTTTTTCATTTGTCTTGCATTTGGCGAAAAAAGGTACCCATCAGTCTTTAATAAAAAATCGAGATATTTGTGATTGTAGGAGGTGGGGGTCTCCTGGTGTGAGAGGAAAAAAAATAGCAAATAGTGGCTGCAAAAATTTGGTGACTTGTAAAACTTGAGTGTCCTTGGAAAAGGGAATTTCCATTTTCTGTGTCTTTAATCTACACAGAAATGTGTTTTTAAAGGACACGTTAAAAAGTTTTGAGCCTACAAAAAAAATAATATAAAAATGAACCACAATGTTTTTAATTGCCCTAAGCCTAGATAAATGTCGGTTTCTGTGGTTTCACCATTTTGACGAGCGCCTGATTTCACCACGCAGCATCACAATTTAATGTATTCGGACCAACGACGTCACATCCCCGCAGCCTTCAGGACGTCATGACGTGTTCTATTCCCCATCACCGCCAGTGACGTGGAGACGAACACGAGCCTGATTGTTTGTTGGGTCACGTGATGACGCAAAACAGACGTACACACCTGAGTCGGACATCTTAGCATTGCGAAGGGTCAGTGTTGTATACATTAGATCGTCAGGCCCCCTGTTCAATTCCACTCGGAATCGTGTATCGCGGGTGTACACAAAGCTCCCCACGGTGATGGGATATTCGAACCGTATGTCCGAGGACTCGTGTGAATATGCCCATACTAGCTGTAGAAGGAACCATACAATAATACTATTATAACAATAGTAGTGTTGCTGCTGCTGCTGCTGCTGCTTTTGTTGTTTTTAAGGTAATTATATTGTTTTTGTTGTTGTTTGTGTTGTTGTTGTTGTTGTTGTGGTTGTTGTTGCTGTTTTTGTTTTTGCTGAGATAGATCGCTTTGCTGCTTCAGCTAATGCTGCTGTTGTTGTTATTCCTATGTTGTTGTTGTTGTTGTTGTTGTTGTTGTTGTTGTTGTTGTTGTTGTTGTTG